CATAACTATAGTGCAATTATTATTTAAAAAAAAAAAAGAAAAAGAGAAATAAGAACAGAAAAAATCCAACCTAAGCATAACTCAACTTCTTATCGGATTTTTCAGGGGAAAAAAAATAAAAATAAAAAAACTCGAAGATAAAAACAGAAAATTGCAATTATCGGCTTTTTTTATTTATTTATTTTTTTCACCTGTTTCCAAGGGAATCTCTTGCAGGTGGCAAAAGCGAGGGTGACGGCGGGGTTAAAATGGGCGCCGGAGATATGTCCGACGGCGTAGACCATCACCATCACAACCAATCCCCACACTATCGATATTCCCGGCAAAGTCACCACTCTCTCCTTGTCGGCGTTCACAATCACCGCCGCACATCCGGCGAAGATCAAGAAATACGTCCCAAGTGTCTCCGCTATTATCTACAGTAAATAATTTTCACCTTATTTCTTCAGAAAAAAAAAAAGTAAATTAAATTAAATTAAATTTGTAAGTTTAATTAAATAATTGTACCTTTTGAATAAAGGGCACTGTGAGAAGGCAACACGCTGAGTCAGAGCTCCTCTTATCACTTGACTCATCATCATCATCTTGTATTCTTACTGTCACACCATTATTGTTATTCCCGTTTGCTCCTGATAAATTATCACCCATAATCAAGACCTATTAAAGTGGGTATAGTCGTGAAGAAAAATTAGGAATTTTTTAGTTTCTTGTAATATGCCAAATTGCAATATTGAGTTATAAGCAAAAATTTTGTACGAATGTGTCCCAATTTATATACCTTTACATAGCATCAAGATAGAGATGGGTCCCAATTTATTTATTATTATTATTATTATTATTATTATTATTATTTATTTTAAATTGACATGCATAGGTTAAAGAATTATTGTGTTCTCATTGGGATATTGTTGGGAAGTGTGACATTTTTAATATATGAGACTCTGAATAAAAAAAATATTGCATTTATTATGGCTAATTCAACACACAACAACCCACCGGAAAATGCAGAGAAGACAATTAAAACTTATCACCATGCAATGGGCAAGATGGCATTCAATTTTATCTATATTGGTACGTACTTTGTTAACTTGCCCATAAAATTTAAATTCCGAATAATTTTATATGGCAACTGGCCAATATTAGCATGCGATTACTCCATACTTTTTTTTTTTTCTTCTTCTTCTTGACCACAAATTATGACTTAGGCGGGGGCCTCCCCAAATTTATTGATTGTTAATGGTTTGGTTGAGTCAAAATTTGACTTCAATGCTCGTAAGTCGTAAGAACTTATTGATAGTTTAAGTTGTAGTTAATTAGGTCAGCTCGAGTATGAACTATATAGATGGATGATCTTGATGGGTGAGCAAGAACCAACAATCAGATTATCTTTAGGTCATTCAACTGAGATCAATTAAGTTGAGTAATTGTATAAGTTAACCAATATTAAAGTAACACAATACATTTATAAAGAATATGTCACGATTGATTTGATTATTAGTGGTCCAATATACTTGGACTCACCAAGAAATTTCAAAGGACTAGAATATAATTCAAGTCCTTAGGGCTTGAATTATAAGTGTTTATAAGTGTTTTTTTTTTTTCCTATATTTTGGACTCACCAAAATATAGGAAAAAACCAAACCGAAATTTTTTTACATTAAAAAAAAAAAAATTGAATCGAATATTCGTGAATATTATTACAATGGCCCTTAGGGCTTGATTGTTTATGAAATAATTTGTTCAAAACGAGTTATTTTGGTTAACCGTAGTTAATTTTGGAAAAGGGGTATAGTTAGTTATAGTGGAATTTTAAAAAAATATTAAAATAATATTTATAATAAAATAATTAAAATTAATTTGATGTAAAAGTAGGAGATAAATGATTAGAAATGATAGGTAGTTAAAATTATGTGAGTGGATAAATAGTGAATTAAAATTGATGTGATGTGTAAGAATGATTAGTTTGTATTATTTAATTATATGAATAATATTAAAGATAGTGGAATTAAGTTAAAGTTGAGTTAGATTTTGAGTATAAGATAAAAATGAGTAAATTAACTCATAAACAAGCATGCCCTTAGTGTTTTATAATGTAAAATACAAACTGCATTTTGTGCCTGGACTGTTTCAAAAGTAAGTTGCAGGTTTCACAATCTTAGCAAATTAACGATATAAATAGTTAATGAACGAATAAATTATGAATCCAATTTTATTGGCTCTAATATCAATTGTAATCTTGTTTTATTCCCTTTGTTTAACTTGATCCTTGTTCATAATTATTAGCACGAGTTAACCACTCATCGTACTAATTATGTGATCTAAAATCCGGTTTCCAACTAAATTAAATAATCTCCAAAATTGGTTGGTGAACAACTGCTTCATAGATTCAAGACCAGGAAAGATCCAAATTGAAACTCTCTTATCTATTATTCTTTATTTTTATTTGATATTGTATTGTATGGACATAACTGCTGCTACTTATGTTGCCAATCGGATTTGTGACACCCCAAAAAACGAATATGATAGATTGATTTGTTATTTTTACACACAGCAATAGGACTTTTTTTAATAGTGTATTCGTTAAATTTTACTTTGTATAATATCTTGCATAAGACATTTTTTNACAGAAATAAAAAGGACAAAAGTTAATGGAGTAAAATAACATTTTTTTAACTAATTAATGGACATTTAGATGGGTGGTTTTAGCTACTCGGAAATATTTGGTGCACCCCGCAAGAACAAAGAAAAAAAAGCAACTTAATTTCCTCCACAATTTTGGTGGGCGATCGAAATTAAACTGTTCAATCCTTGTACTTATAAACAATTCATTTCAATCATCATCACGCGAACCTAGAATCTTTGAATAAATAAAAATATATAACTGATCGTTTCGGAGAAAAAAAAAAAAAAGTATATATAGGAAAATGCTAGTACTATTCTTTGTTTACTACCTTCTCACACGGGTTTATTGCCAGTTTACGTGTGAAAGAATTGACTAGCTTTTCAATTTTTTCTGTTTTAGATAAGAACAAATAAATTGATGCGCATGATTCATGGAGCAATGACCGCCCGTGAAGTTTTCTATATTTTCCTTGCCATAATTATACCAAGTTTGGCTTCACGTATATTACAATGCATTATTTGTAATGCAATTTGCTTATTATGTGATCATGTTTTATAATTAAAAGGGGAAAGTTGAAAATATATCCAATAATAATCATAAGCTTTTATTGAGTTAAACCGAGCTGGGTTGAGATTGTTAACTTTGTAAGCTAATAAACGACCTCGAGTCTTTATGAGATTGAGATTTTATCGACCCAAGCTTGTTAACTAAATGAGTTGATAAACAAGCTCAAATCTCGACTCTATAACTAAATGATACCGATAAACGTGTTTTGATGAGTTCGGCTCATTTATATATTAATGAGCGAAATTGAGCCTTAACGAATTGAATTAGAGCCTTAACGAGCCGAGTGAAGCTTAGAGTTAAAAAAGAAATTATGTAAGAATATATATATATATATATTCGAACCTAATAAGCATTAAGGAGTCAAGTCAAGTAAACAACATCGATTTCAACTTGTTTGATCAAACTCGGGTTAACCCAAGTTGAGCTTACTACAGAAGAAGAGTTTTGGTGTAATCCAACAAAAATATCTAACTATATTTAAACTGCAGGGACAACGATTTCATTTTCATACTTAGGACAGTTAACAACTTTGTCTAGGAAAAGGGTACCTTTGATTATATCATTTGTATTGCATTCATTTCCTCTTTCACTATAGTTCGCAAGTTAAAAGGGGTCCGTACAGACAACACCACAATTACTCGGTACAAATCTCACTTAGAGCCGACCCGAGACGAGCTCTTGAGAAATGAACCGGGTTTTGTAATCTCACGCAGGGGTTTATCCGTAAATCTGATGATGTTGTAAACCCAGGCCCCAGCTATGGCCCCGGCTGTTGGGCCCAATAGGTAGATCCATATTCCTTTATAGTTGCTCGCTGCAATAGCTGGGCCCAAACTCCTTGCTGGGTTCATCGATGCTCCTGAAATGGGCCTGTTGCATAATACCCACAAAATATTAGATTATTATTATTATATGAAGATTTTGAACA